GGAGGCCTCGCCGCGCCCACCAGGCCTCCGGCCCCTGGCAGCCGCCCGGAGACGCCGCTGGTGCTGGAAGTGTCCCGCTGACGCCTGCATGTCTGTGCACGTGTGTGTTTTGTAAACTCGCCATTAAATGACCTCCTCGTGGCAAGGCCTGGTCCCGGTCCCTCAGCCCTGGCCCACCTCCCTGAGCCGTGGGCGGAGACGTGGTGACAGGTCTGTCAGAACCATAACTCCCGTGGCCTGACTGAAGATGGGCATTTGTTGGGTGAGGCCTTGTATCTGGCAGCTGCTGCTGCTGCAATGCCGCGTAACAAAGCGGCCACCCGAAACCAGCTGTGGGGCCTCTGTCGTTGGGTCAGCTGGGCGGTGCTGGTCTGGTGGGGGCTTTAGCGGCTGCACGGGGCACGTTCCACAGGAGGCAGACGGGCAAGCACCTCCTTGCTCTGGCTGCTGTGGCACGTGCTTTCATGCCATTGGCCCACGCCAGTCTCATGGCCAAGGCCAGGACCGCAGTGGGAGGGCTCTGCAGAGTTATTTGGCAAAGGCGGGGAGGCTGTGGAGAATTGGGGTGGTAAAGCGGGCGACGTGTTCTGGCCCCGTGGTCCTGGCCATCCTGTTACGAGGTCATGGATCCTGTTGAGCTGCTGGAGAAACATTTTTGTGAGAGAAGCACATCGACTGGTCGCCTCCTGCATGCGCCCTGACCAGGGCCCCGCTGTGGAGGAGCCTGCCACCGAGGTACGTGCCCTTGACCGGGAATCGAATCCAGGGCCCTTGGGTCTGCAGGCCAACACTCTATCCACTGATTCAGACCGGCCAGGGCTCTTTATTCTATTTGCAAACACACCCTTGCAGCTCTGACCCCCCGGCAAAGGGAGCCCGGACCAGGCCTGAGTGGGGTCCCCAAGAGGGCCGCAGTCTGAGCCGAGAAAAGCCCCCAGTCTCCACCTCGGCCCCTGGAGGAGCCGCTGGCCTCAGCGCCTGCCCCCAGAAGGGCGTCTTGTACTCACCCTGCTCAGCGCATCCCAGAAGCGGCCTCGGGGTCTTGTTGCAGGAAAAAATCTGAGATAAAAATGACGGCTCCCTCATGTGCTCACCACTGTGAGCCCCGGGATTAATGGCCTTACATCAGGCCTCATGAAGGTTCATGGTGCGGCGCGATTGTGAGGAACACACCTCACGTGCCCTGACGCCGGAGGGGGCCGCGACACTCCCCGGTGGCTGCTGTGACCATGGTCTCCCTCTGGCAGGATAAGTGGGCTCGTGGCTTCAGCGTGGCGAGGCCTCGTCAGCCTCCGCGGCGTTAAAGCACCATTTCCCCAGCATCTCAGCAAAAGAAGGTGGGCGCTGTGTTACTGCTGAAGCCCTAACCCTCTGGTTGTGTATGTGGCCTCACCTGGAAGTGGGATGACTACGTTTAAGTGAAGTCATTGGGTGGACCCTTATCCGTTACACCATGTCCTTATGAAAAGGGACGCACAGGCACCCAGGAAGCACGCTGTGTGCAGAGGGAGGCAGAGGCGGGTGATGCATCCAGGCCAGGGCACGTTGGAGATGGCAGGGACGCGGGAGATCGCAGGGCACGTGGGAGGTGGCAGGGACGCGGGAGATGGCAGGGTACACGGGGGATGGCAGGGCACGTGGGAGATGGCAGGGGACGCCGGAGATTACCAGCGAATGGCACGGAGGGCCGTGGGTGAGAACGCCAGGGAAGAATCGCTGTCTAAGCAAAGGACCACGGTCACCAGGGGCTGGTCGCCAACAGTGTCCCGGCCTCAGGAGGAGCAGCCCTGCGGGCACCTGGACCTCGGTCTCCGGCCTCCAGAATATATTTCTTTTGGGGTCTGTGGTGCCTGGTCACGCCACCCTCCCCGCCCCCACACACACACTACGACAGTGTCCCAGCCGCACAGCCCTCTGGGAAGTTGAGTCCCGTCACACGGTCCTGTGAGCAGAGGCCACAGAGAGGGTGATCGTCCGACAGCTTGCACCCTCCACCCTCGAGGGCTTCCATCCCCAAGGGCCAGGGAGCTAGGACGGCCCTGCTCTCTGGGGCCCGGGGCAGATGGGGCTGGGAAAGGTGCTGGAGGGCGGCCACCCCACCCCAGGGCTGTCCGCACACGGGCACAGGACCCCCGGTGCTGGCTGGGCGGGCGGAGCTGCAGGAGACATGTCTGCACACTCTGGGTCCCTTTCATGGCAGAGCTGTCCCAGGGAGGAGGAGGGGGCAGTGAGGGTGCGTCTTTGGAGGGGGTTCCCATCCTGGTCAGGAGCTGGGGCTGGCACCGGCGCCCAGACCCCTGCCCTCATGGTGGGAGTGAGTGGGCTGTGCTGGAACCCGGGGCTGGGGGATGAGGACGAGGCGCAGTCCAGGCTCACGCTCCACACTGCAGTCTTCGCTCTCCAACCTCAGCGCTGTCCCCTCACCCCGGCTTTGCCAGGCCAGGTGGGCTAGCAGGGGGCTCCCAGGGGACCCCTGAGCCAGGGCAGAGGCAGCCCCAAGGCCAGCAGCTCTGTCCCAAGACGAAAGCAGTGGAGTTCCCAGCGGAGGACCAGGCTGGAGGCAGGAGCTGGGAGCCAGCAGCTCAGGCAGAACGCCAGAGGCGGGGGGAGGCCAGCCAAGGCGTTCAGAGGGCAGGCCGAGGCGCGGACCTGGGGCCTGCACCGCCCAACGTTCAGGCAGAAGTCAGAGCCGTCACACTGTGTGACCCTGGGCCCACCAGAAACAGGATGGCTTGTAGCTAACCCCTGCTGGGTGGGCTGTGCAGCCCTGTGCCCCCCTCCTCCCCTGTGTATCCCTCAGACCCCCAGGCCTCCAGTGGGCAGTCAATTTACATCGGACCCCCTGCTCTGGCCACAGCTGGACGCACAGGGGTGGCAGGCCTGGCTGAGCAGGGAGCCCGGTGCAGGGTCTGGCTCCCGTTTGGCTGCTCTCGAGAGGCCATTGGTTAAGCCCCAGGTGGTTGTGGGGCCTTGTGTGCCCCGCTGCCCGGGAAGCAGCAAAGGCGGGTGATGACGATCGGTGTGGCCAGCACCTCCGCGTGGTGCCTGGCCTGCTGGTTGTTACTGGCAACCATCGATTGTGGCCCTAACAGGTGCACCTGCCACCTCCTGGGGAGGGGTCAGCCCGTAGAGGGCGCCCTGAGCTCCCCTCCCACCCTCCCCAGGGCCCACCTCCGGCCCTGTGCTCCCAGGGCCTGTCGGCTGAGGCTGCAAACACAAACCACAGGGCTCTGCGACCATCAATCGAGTTTAATGCGTCGTACAGACGAACTACACGGGCAAATTGACGACGAACACTTGTCTCTATCCTTACTACCCACTGGCCGGGCCTCCTGGGTCCAAAAAACTAAGTCTCAAGACACGTCAGCAGCTACCCCTCCCGGGTCCAACCTCTCACCACCTCCCGTTACACTTTTTAAAGTTCAGTTCAATCCACCAAGAAGGAAACGAACAGAGGAAGAACCTGAAGGCCTCGCATGGCGAGCCGCGCGGGAATGCATAATCGGCGTCGACAGTGACCAATATCGCAGACGTGTGCCTCCCAGTTCGCTTTGTTCATCGATAAAAGAATATAAAAATCTTGTTCAACCAGCGTTGAGTGTATTAAAATAGATCTGTATCGTACAACACAGTTTCTCCCAGAGTCGTGGCCAGGACGGCAGGGGCCGTGGCAGCCTGCAGCTCGGACCAGCCTCCCTGCTCCACGGGTCTGCACGCGTGTGCGTGCGGGCCTGGGGCTGTGTGCGCACGCACACACACGTGTTCAATGCAATTTGGCACCGTGTGATATGCTGGGGGGGGGGGGGCCTGCGGCTCCCGGAGCTTCTGTTTGCTGTGCTAGGTCCCTGGGGACTGGAGGCGCTGGTGGGGGTGACCACTGGGGACACAGGAGCCCTTTAAGAGGCCACTACACCCTCCAGGAGAGGGCGAGAGGGGCTCTGTCTCCAAAGGACGCACCCCAGGCCACGACCCTCCCTTCCCACCCTCGGGTGTCTGGGGCCAGGGGCAGCAGAGGCCACTGTGAGCAGAGGCCCTAAGAGCCCCCTTCACATTAAATATCGCACAATAAAAACGCCACTCAAAAACGTAGTCATTTTTGGCATCGTGGCCGCACTGGCAAGAAACCAGGAGTGGAATACTTCATCGGCGCTTCGGGAGGAGAGAAGGAAAGGCTTCCGCGGAAGCGGGATGACAGCCCCAAACTGAAAACGTGCGCCGTGCCTCCCACGCGGCTGCGGCACCGTCCGGCCCAGAAACTCCAGAAGGAAAAGGCTCCCACAGCAAAATGAGCCCAAAGCATCCGCGAGAGGGAGGCGCAGGCGAGGGCGCGGAGGGACTTGGGGGGCAGTGGCACTGGCGGGAACGCAGCAGCATCCCCTTGAACGTAGAGTTTCAAGTCAAATAGCTGCTAATACTGACAGGTGGGCCTGGGCACCTGGAAGGCACGGGCACCCAGCCCTGGGCATGGCCCCCATGAGGGAGGGCCCTGCGTCCTACCTAGATTCGCTACCCACTTCTGTCCAACTACCTGCACTACTCGGCTACGTCTGCGTTCCGGCTCCTTCCCACCGGACACGGGTCCTCGGGGGAGGGGGCACGCTGGCTCTCAGCGGGGGCGCCCTGGCCCCTCACACTTCTGCACGAGGGAGGTGTGGGGACAGCCGTGCTGCAAGCCGGAGGCCTGGGCAGTCCCACCACAGCAGGCCGATGGTGCGCCCCACCTGAACGTGGTGGGGTCCCGTCTGAACGTGTGGGGGGCTCCACCCCCACCCCGGGCTGGAGAACTAGGACTCTCGCTCGCTCCACTGCCCTTCCTCCTGCCTTGTTCTGTCTGGCTCTGTTCTTATCTGAAATTCACATTGTTCATGAGTTAAGGCTGACAGACCCCGGTCTGTGGGCCGGGTCCCAGTGACGCTCCGTGGGTGTGAGACCGGCCCCCGGAGTCAGTTGTGTCCCTGGGGGTGCTGGAGGGCCGCGTGCATGGCTGCTGCTGAGGGCTTGGTCCAGGGCCCGGCCAGCAGCGAGGCGGGGCTGGTGGTCGTCATGGTGACCTGGAGCATCTGCTCGCCCTGTATCAGTCTCAGGAGGGCCCGCAGGCGGTCCAAGGATGACTGGGTGCCCCTCTGCCGGGCCAGCAGGCTCATCTTCAGCTCCAGGCATTTCTGTTGGGGTGGGGGGCAGAGAGAAGGGTCTCAGAATTCAACTGTGCAGCCATCCTGGGCAGCACCCCTTCACACCCCCTCCCCAAAGCTCTCCCTCCCCCTGCAGAGGCCTGAAAGCAGCCAGGCAGGGAGCCTCACAAAAAGCAGGCAGCAGTGAAAAATGGAATTAAACAGCAGCAGACACAGTTTGTTTTAAACTTAGGGTTACAAATAGTGTGTGTGTGTGGGGGGGGGCGTGGGAACCTTCTGCTCACGCTGCAGCGCCACCCGCCCACCACGCCTGCTCGCCGCTCCTGGAAGAAGCTCAGAGCCAGCTCCGGCCCAGCTGCGCAGCCGCACAAACTTTCAGACGCCAGCCAGGTCCCTGCTCTGTCTCTCGCAGGCGGTACGCTTGCCTTTTCCTAGCTTGTGTATGTATCTGAGCAACACGGTGACAAGCGAAGGGCTGATCCTCCACTTGGAGCTATTTGCTGCTTAGGCCAATAGCTTAAAATCCCTGAGACTGTGTCCAAAACTCTAAGATAGGAATAACCAGAGTATCTTCATTCTACACTTAAAGAGTTTACCAGGACATGGCACTGCTTTTACCATCATCATCACCTCTAGCACCATCACCATCATCAACATCACCATCACCATCATAACCATCATCCACAACACCATCTCCCCCTCCCCCCCATCACCACCACCATCACTACCAGTCCCATGATCCTCTTTAAAACCACTATTCCAAAGACACTTCGCCTTCACTTCCTTTCCTGAACTCTCTGCAGCCAGCAGTTGGAAGTTCATTTTTAACATCCCCACCATCACTACTCTCACCACCATCACCTCCATCATCTCCAATACCTCCATTACCACCACCATCACAATTATTATCATCATCTCCATCACTACCATCACCATCATCATTACTATCTCCATCATCACCATCACCACCACCACCACCACCACCACCATCACACCTATCACCATTGTCCTATCACCACCCTGCAGCGGGGGATCATTATGTCCACTTTGCACAACAGGACACTGGCTGAGACGGCTCACAGAGCTGAGGAGGAGCAGATACTGATGCTCAGTTGCTTGATGACCGTCTGTCGAGTGAGTCACCTCTGACTCGCTGCGTGAAGTTGGCGAGTCTCCCTCCTCTGGGGCCTCAGTAACCAGACAGCGATGCTTTGGATCTACGTGGTTCTAGGGCAGCCCCGCCCCACACCCCGAGCCCCGCGCACCTTCACGGCCGAGGCCAGGCGCCGGTCCCGCTCCTCCAGCTGCCGGTGCTCGCTCTGCAGCTGACTGCCTCTCTGCAGCAGCTTTTGCTTCTCCTCTTCTTTGACTGGAGAGAGGACGGGCCGCGCCCAGGGGGCAGGTCAGCAGTGGGACTCCGAGGTCTACGCCTACAGGCCACACCCACCCACAGGAGCCCGCGGCCCTGGCTGGACGCCTGGGGACTGAAGGCCATCCTCCCAGCTACTGCCCTGCACGGCCCCATCCAGGGCCCTCTTTTCAGAGTTCCGGCCAGAACAGCCTCCGATGGGCCTGGAGGAGGAGAGAAGGGAGCAGGAGCCCTTGCCCGAGTCCTACCTGTCTTGTGAGTGACGTAGGAGCGCACGATGGCCAGCATCCCGGTCCAGGGCACAGCTTCGTCTTTCTTTAAGGCCTGCAGGGCAGAGGGGACCTGAGCAGGCAGCCAGGTGAGGGCCCGCCACACCCCGAGTATGGGGCCCTGGGGAGGCACGAGCACTCTGAGCTGCAGGTTCCTCAGCCGGGACCCGGGATGGGGCCGTCCCTGTGTGGGGTCTAGGTCCCAGGGGCTGCTGGGCGAGGGTAGGATCTGCTTGTCACCAGGGCCTCAAACAGGGCCTGGCAAAAGCAGGGCTGAACTCTTCTTCGGTGAAAGAATAAATAAATGAGCACTTGTCTTGTTCCCATGTCCTGGGACCCGAGAGCAGGGGGGACAAAGCCGGGACCCAGGGAGGCCCCACCATCACGCTGGAGTGGGAAACTGCCCCGCAGAGCACTGTGACCCTGGGCAGGCACAATGCAGGGGCCTGTTCGACAACCAGCGCCCCCCACGCCCCCTGCTTCCCCGTCGGCACCCTCTGCAGGGACCACCCGGAAACGCAGGTTTGCTCAGGTGAACCGACCCCATACCTTCTGCTGGCACTTGGGGCACACCCACACGCCCTTGGGCGCGGTCTTGAGGGGCGGGTCCAGGCAGCCGAGGTGGTAGGCCCCTGGGCAGGTGCCGCAGGGCTGCAGGTCGGCCCCTCTCTGGCAGGCCGCGCAGTGCTCATCGTGGGCAATCTCGCTCTGGAAGAGGAGGCCGGAGGTGAGCGCCGTCTCAGCAGCTGCCACCCTGCCTGCTTGCGACCCAGACACGTTCAGCTCAGCAGTTCCAGGAGGAGGGAGGGGCCGGATGGGACCGGGAGGGGCAGCAGGGTCACGGAGTACTTGCTGGGCATGGAGTGGCCCCAGGGTCCCGATCCTCCCACCCGAGACAGGACTCCAGGTGAGAGGGCGGGGCAGGGGGTCCTGCTGCGAGGCTGGGAAACAGCCCCCTCGGGTCTGCATTGTACCAGGGGCGCCTGTCGGGGGGCGGGGAGGGGACTGTGCGCATGTCACTCCTCGCAGTCCCCTTACAGCATCAGGTCTACCTGGTGGCTCCTCCATCTCCACTGCCGTCCTGTGGTTGGTGGGAGACTCAGCAGGGAAGGCACACACAGCACCACCGGGTAGGAACCCAGGGGAGGTTAGCTACCCCTTCCTCAGAAAGGTCATCTGCAGTCACCTTCAATCTCTACTTACACACCTCCAGGCCCGGGAGCTCACTACGTTTCAAGCCTAGGCTCACTCTGAGAGTGGAGTGTTCGTAACCAAACCCCATAATCTGCACAATCTGCGTGGTCCCCCCCGCCCAAGAGAACCCCCCCGCCCCGCACCTTTTGTCTGTTCTCTACCTACATTAGCATCTCCCACCCTCAGACTCGGAAGGGACCAGGAAGGGACAGAGCGCTCTCCCCAGGGAGAAGCCGTGCCACCAGGACACCGGCTCCCACGGCTGACTCTGAAGGAGGCCTCAGACCCTGCCCTCACCTCTACTTTCAGTTCAAGGACCCAGAGAGGGTGCGCTGCTTGCCCGAGGTCACACAGCGAGCTGGGGGTGGAACCAGGGCGAGCATCTGGGTCTCCGACCTCGAAACCAAGGCCCCTCCTGCACTGGGGGCTCTGCGTGCCTGCAGGGCTGGGCACGGGCAGCTGCGGACAAACGCGCCAGGCCCACCGGCCCGATCACGCCAGTGCAGGCTCATTGGGCCAACGGCACAGCGTGAGCGGAGTTCACACCGTCACCTATTGCTTCTCGGCGGCTTGATTGTTACAGGCACGTGGGGACTGGAGGCCTCTTAGAATTAGATCGGAAGCATACAGAGAAACACCGAATAAATTCTGAGCCAGGCCTTGGGAGGAGGTCACAGCCAGCCAGTGCTCTGGGAGGCAGGGACGTGCGTAAGCACGGGGGACTGGGGACGCACAGGATCACAGAAAGGTGGGTGTCTGGGCAAGGCTCTGCCGGTGTAACCCCTCAGGGGTGGGCAGTGAGCACAGGTGAGGCCAGGCAGAGACAGGAAGAGCCCAATGGCACCCAGGCCTTCACGGCTCCCGGGTCCTCCCATCCTCAGCACCGGGCAGAGAGGACTCCAGCCTGAACCGGCGGGCTGCCCCCTGCCGGGCAGGCTGGGAAGTGGACAGGGGCAAAGCTCTGGGCACCAAGGGCAGCGCCCAAAGGCCCTCTGCTCCGCCCCAGGGCAGCAGGACACTGGCCTCACCTTTGCCAGGAGTGATGCTACCTGGACGGGAAAGCATGCCCCACCCCCTGGGTATGAAGAAAGGGGACACATACCTTCCAGCAGGGGTCCTCATTGGCTGGCACAGGGAGGAAGGGCGAGAACATGTTACATGTTAGTGGGCATCTGGGGAGCACCAATCAGGACTGGAGTCCATGAGGCCCGGTGTGGCCAGGTTCTCACCCAGGGCATGATGGGAGCATTACAGGCCCCAGTGACAGCTGGTTCTCACCCAGGGCATGATGGGAGCATTACAGGCCCCAGTGACAGCTGGTTCTCACCCAGGGCATGATGGGAGCATTACAGGCCCCAGTGACAGCTGGTTCTCACCCAGGGCATGATGGGAGAATCACAGAATCATAGGCCCCAGTGTGGCCAGGTTCTCACCCAGGGCATGATGGGAGTAAGGGTTTCTACCCTGGTCACGGCACGGACCAGGCTCGTCGTGGCCCAAGTTCTCGAGGAGCAGGGCAGCTGGGAGCGTAGGGGGAGGGAAGCATCGCTCCAGTGGGAATACGGGACAAACTCTGAACTCCTCTGTTGCCCGTACCCCACTCATTCTAGTGAGTGATGCCCAGCACACATCTTAATGACCAAGCCGGGCTGCAGACGCCACCAGCAGTGGGAGGCCCTGCTTCGTGTGCACACTCCACAGCGTACAAAGCGCTGTCATGCTCACCCCTGTGCCACTGTCCTCACGGCCCATTTTACACACCAGGAAACCAGGGCCCGGGAGGTGGCGACGTGTCAAAGGTCAGAGTCCCAAGAGGAGGCAGGCCGTTTCCTGCCCGAGGACCATTTGTTCTCTAACTGGGAATGAAGGGTGCCTCCTGGTGGGTGCTGTGACTGTGGATGTGTTCTTTGAGGCTGGTTTCTTGGCCCCGAGGTCCTGCAATGGGCAGGGCTGGCAGAGGGGGGCGGGGCCCATGCATCCTGGGGTGAAGGCCCTGGCCAGGTCCCAGCCTGCCAGTGCCCTGAGGTGCGGAAGGATCCGAGGCCCAGGGGGCGGTCTGGTCCTGGCCACACAGCTCTGACCATACAGCGAGTCATGAGGCAGGGCCAGGCCAAGGACTCCAGGTTCCCACGTGCTGCCCAGGGCAGCTCATGAGGGTGTGTGAGGCACCCGGCCAGCTGCCTGGTGGGGAGGAGAGGCGCTCTCCAGGGCTGTGTGGTGGCAGGTGGCACCTGGGCAGGGCCACAGGGCAGAGGCCAGGAAGCACTGGCTGCAGATACAGGTGGTAGGGGGGTTGGGGAGGGGAGTGAGGGCCCCTCCTGGATCTGGGTCCACACCCCGACCCAGGTCAACTCTGTGGTAGGCAGGTCCTGCCGCAGTGGCCGTGGGCACCACGGGCCCTGGCCCTGCTCACCTCGTGCCGTGAGGAACAGGGGGCTGTTCAGGTAGCTGGACGCCAGCCGCTTCCTCTGCAGGGACAGAAAACAAGAAAAAACCACCGTCGGGGGGCCCTCCTCAGGCTGCAATCCCTGCCCAGGCTCACCAACAGCCGCACCCAGGCTCTGAGCCCCGCTGGACACCCGGGGAGGCAGACACGGGGACAGGCCCGGGCACGCAGGGCCGGGCAGAGGGGGTGGGTGGGGACCTGTCCCTCACCAGGGCGGAGTGGTCCCCGCTGCCTGTGGGGACATCTGTCCCACTAGGAAGGACGTGAGGACGCACATGAGGCAAATCAGTAACAGAGCGGATTGTGGTGCCCTATCTGCCCGTCTTCCCTCTTGGCTGCTCTGGGGTCCGGGGGGAAACAAGGGGTGCTACAGGCTAGCTCCCAACCCCCACTTCCGCCTGTGGCCCGGGAGCCCTGGCGCCAGACAAGGGCCTCTGCACCCTGGCGGCCTTGGACGCCGCCGCCTCAGACGGAAGCTCCCAGAGGGGGCTCTCCCACCCCAGGCCACGCAGTCTCGGCCTTGGTGGTTGGAGGGGGCTCTGGCTGTGATCGCACAGAAGGATTGTTCTAGAGTCTTGTTTGGCTTAAACCCGTCTCTCAGGCTGAGGTCCGGCCTTGGGAGGAGCCCATGGAGGGGCTGCCCTTGACCCTACGTATGTGTCCAGGGCTCAAGGGCACCCGCTTCGCATTGGTCCCTGACGTGCTCACAGGTCGCCTCTGGCCCCAGCCACAGGCTTTGGAGACCAGGGTCTGGCTTTGCAGGTCAGAGAGAGAGGGTTTCGTCCACGAACAGCAAGGGACGGGCCTCATCAAACAGAGAGCCTGCCGCTCCGGTGACATGCCTACAAACGGGGACCTGCCTCAGGGACAGGGCTGCCTCCCTCCCGCCGAGCTCCATGCACGGGATGTGCACCTGGGACAACTGGCCCGGCTGGCCCCCAGGGAGGCACAGGGCACTTTCCCGACCCCTCCAGGCCCCCGGAGCCCTGCCGGCCTCGGGACACGCCTCTGCCTCAGCTCTGGACTCTGGGGCCTTAGAGACACTGCTTCCAGTGAGGGGGTCACTCCCAGGTGCCCCACTGCCTGTGCCCTGCGACCCGCACCCAGGGAGTGCGTGTGGCAGCTCAGCCGACACGTCCATCTCCTGCCTCCTCTCTCAATGGACCCTGGGCTCCGGGGGGCGGGTGAGGGGGGCCAGCGGAGCCTCCCTCCCTGCGGAAGGCGGCCTCACCTCGGTCTCCAGGAGGCCGCTGTAGGCGGGGTTGGCGGTGCTTCTCCGCTTCCGCTCCTGGCG